TCCTGGAGGGTTAAATGCTTAAAGGAGGTTACGACTGCTTTAGAAATGTTTTTGTCTGAATTTTTGCAAGTCAGTTGTTCAAGTAAGAAGACTGGGAGAGAGTCTGTTCCCTGATATCAACAGATCTTTAGTGAAGATCCTCTCCTATCATATATGAGGATGGAAAGAGATCCAGGAGGATCTTAGACCAACCAGCTACAGGTCACCCTAAGTATTTCTAGATTCCAAGTGAGATGAATGAAACCTCCAGTGATGGAGTATCCACAACTCTGAAGGCAAGCTATTCCATTGATTAATTGTTCTCACTGTCAAAAAAAAGTCCTCCTTAGTTAGACTTGTATACCACTTCATAGTACTTTGCTAAGTAGTTTACAGAGTCAGCACATTGCCCCCAACAATCCGGGTCCTCATTTTACCAACCTCGGAAGGATGGAAGGCTGAGTCAACCTTGAGCTGGTCAGGATCGAACTGCTGGCAGTGAGCAGACTTAGACTAAAGTGCTCTCTTCTACTATTACATCTTCTACTTCAAAGCAAATGCTTTGCATCTGTGGGTTGGCCACAAAACCTGTGACCTTTAAAAGGGAAGAGTTGAAGAGAGTTTGATGACCTTTTTTTTTTGCCCTCAGAAGGAAAGTGCATCAGAGTTCGCATCATGTTCTGGGCTCCCTTCCTTCTCTCGTTGTTCGTGCACTCCTCAGGTGCTGTACAAGAAGAGAAGTTGTTGGTTAGATGTTTCATCGAGTGAAAATGCTCTTTTACCCAAGACATTGTTTAATTTCTTTGTTTGTTTCTTTGCACAGGATCCTTTGCTCAGTATGTCCTGACCCAGCCGTCATCCGTGTCTGTCTCCCTGGGACAGAATGAAAGGATCACTTGTTCAGGAAATAACATTGGAGGAAAGAGTGTTCAGTGGTACCAGCAGAAACCTGGGAATCCTCCTGTTCTGATTATATATGGTGATAGCCGCAGGCCTACAGGGATCTCAGATCGATTCTCGGGCACCAACTCTGGCAACACGGCCACCCTAAGCATCTCCAGGGCCCAGGCTCAGGACGAGGCCGACTACTACTGCCAGGTGTGGGACAGTAGCCAGTGCACAGTGATACAAACTAAGGGGGAAGTGCGACAAAAACCTGCTTCTGAGGCGTTCAACCTTCTGGGCTGGCTTGGAGAAGCTCAACCATACCCCAAAAAAAGGAAGATCTCCCTGTTCCTTGGAGAGAAAAAGAATGCCAAGCCAAGAATCTCCCTGGGGCGAAGTCTACCTTATGACTCCTGGCCTCCCTAATCCTCCAAGGCATGATCTTCCTGTGGTTCTCCCCTCCTGTCACACTTTTACAGACAACAACATTGCTTGACATGGAAATCATCTTGAGGAACACAGGAGAACTTTCCTACGTTTGAACTGTTGCTTAATGGCAATGATATACCTTATGCAGGAAAGTCTACTTTTCCATGCATGCTGCTTCCACTTTGGATCCATCTGATTGCTCTAGAGGTTCTAGACGTCTGTCCCTTCACTCTTTCTTGACATGGAAATCATCTGGAGGAATGCAGGAGATCTTTCCCACTGTTGAGTGGTGGCCTAATGGCAACTAAGCACCTTATGCAGGAAAACATTCCTTTCCATGCATCCTGCTTCCACTTTGGATCCATCTGATTGCTCTAGAAGTTCTAGATGTCTGTAACATGTTTTGGATGTTGGAGCAGAACCATCAGGCAGGGCATCACCCTCACTTCCTCCTGCCCAGTTTTGCTTCTTCTTGCTCTGCTTGGCCTCCCACCTGTTGCAACTGAAGAGAACACTTGAAATTGTT